TATATTCTTCTGAACATTTCATATTCATCAAAGAAAGCTGGAAACTTTCATGCATTCATTTTATGCCACAGCGAAATGAACCACCAACTATTCCAGCATGTTTTACACAGTGGATGCCCTTCCAGCTGCAACCCAGTACTGGGAAACACCCAAACACACTCATTCACACACACACACACACACACACACACACACACACACACACACACACACACACACACACAATTCAACAATTCCCCTATAGCGCATGTGTTTGGACTGTGGGGGAAACCGGAGCACCCGGAGGAAACCCACACCAACACGGGGAGAACATGCAAACTCCACACAGAAACACACACTGACCCAGCCGAGACTCAAACCAGAGACCTTCATGCTGTGAGGGCAGAATACGACACCACTGCGCCACCGTGCAACAGTAAAAACATTTCATCATCATGTTTAAACATGCTTGTATTAAATGAATGCCTGCTCAGCGAGCAGAAGAGACGTCATACAACACGCTGAACATCAGACCTGCAGTGTACTCTCATCATGTCCACACTGTGCATGTGATGTAAACCGCTCTGACAGCTGGATCATCTCTCTGTGATATTATCTATTAATCATGTCTGTTTGTCATCCTGTCACTCTACACCAGCGGTGCCCAAACTCAGTCCTGGAGGGCCGGTGTTCAGCAAAGTTTAGTTCCAATCAGCTCTGACTAGGCCATCTAGAAACATCCATATAGATGTGTTGAGGCAAGCTGGAGCTAAACTCAGCAGGACACCGGCCCTCCAGGACCGAGTTTGAACACCCCTGATCTACACCAAACAAAAAAAAGACAAAAACAGCACATGAAGAGAGTTTATTTATTTATTTGCATCCGTTTAAAGACACCACCCAATCCCTCATCAGTGTGCTCTCCATCTGGAAATGTTGTTTACAGTGTAATGATCAGTTCTTACTCTATCAAATATATGATGTCTATGGAGAGTCCTCATAAACCCACATTACTTACACTGATAAAAATTAAGTTGTCGCCCTAAAAACACGAAAGAATTGTGTTGATTCAGCTCTGTTTTAATAAGCAGCTTTACCAGACAGCTAAAATGATTTGAGTGAGTGCAGCACTGCCTGTCTCCAGGGATAAATCTCATATATTTGTGTTTACGAGTGGTTGAAAATGGAAGTGTGTGTGTGTGTGTGTGTGTGTGTGTGTGTGTGTGTGTGTGTGTGTGTGTGTTAAAAGTCTGATTAACCAATGCGACACTCTTACAGTGCAGTGTTGTAAAAACCCAACGTACAGAACTTTCTCACACGGTTTTCATTTCAGATGTTTTACACACGTCATCATCATTTAATCTGTGGTGATTCTGATCATGCAATAAAACAGTAGATGAACATTTTAAATACAGTTGCAGACACAATTATTCACCCTGTTCAGACATTTTCCAACACATTTCTGATCATAATAGTGTTAATAACTCATCTCTAATAACTGATTTAATTTCTCTTTGCCATGATGACGGCACATCATATTACACTAGATATTTAGATGAAGATACCAGCATTCAGCTTTAATTAGGTTTATTAGGCACATCATTAGACAACAGTGTTCTGTTCTGTAGATAATCAATGCAAAAATATTTCTAAAGGTGGCAAATAATATTGACCACAGCAGTTTTTACATTAAATATTGAATATTCCAGCCAATCAGACTCTCTCCAGCAGAAAAATATTAGAGGAAATCCTGTGAACAATGATAAACAGCACTTGGGAAATACATAAAAACGCATAAAACTTTCCCAAGAGAGTGAATAATTCATTCTTCAGCTGTTCTACACCTCTGTGATAATAAACGCAGTGTCTGATGTTCTGCACAGGTCACAGCACGGCTGAGGAGAAGGATGAGGAGATGCTCAGCTGTAAATACAGCTCTGTGTGTGTGTGTGTGTGTGTGTGTGTGTGTGTGTGTGTGTGTGTGTGTGTGTGTGTGTGAGAGTGTGTACATGAGTGTCTGTGTGTATGTGTGTGTGTGTGTGTGTGTGTGTGTGAGGGCATGTACATGAGTGTCTGTGTGTATGTATGTGTGTGTGTGTATGTGTGCGTGTGTGTGTGTGTGTGTGAGGGCATGTACATGTGTGTCTGTGTGTCTGTGTGTATGCATGTGTGTGTCTGTTTGTGTGTATGTGTGTGTGTGTTTGTGTGTATGTGTGCGCGTGTGTGTGTGTGTGTGTGTGTGTTTCTGCAAAATGTCTAAGTGA